CGCCCTTCGGAAGGGCATGTCAACTCCACCGACTGTATTTCTGACATGAAATAAAAGTTCCTCATAAAAAACTATCAACCGTTCGGAGGCTGCGTAGCATAAACTTGTAGGTTCCTCGAATTGTTGGAAAAACATCAAGACGCAAAACCACAAAATGGAAGAGGAACTCGTCCGAAAATCGCTTCAACGGTTGCAAAGCGCCAATTATTATATATATATATATATATATATATATATGGTTTTGCGTCTTGATGTTTTTCCAACAATTCGAGGAACCTACAAGTTTATGCTACGTAGCGTATATAGTTCATTCTGTCAACTTTCTAACTATATATCAGCTTCATACTAGTTGAATACCAGTTCATTTAAGCATGTTGAATAACTACTACACCACGAAAAAGATGAAATTCAAAATAAAAATGAGTTTGCCTGCAACGAGAATGAACCTCACGCGCTACAGTGGGAACCTCTAACCGCTCGGCTGTCGTGTCAATGAAACGACGAACATCACTTTGCGCATTTCAACAGAACGCAACAACACACAGTGGTGGAAATTATACTACTAGTATTCAACTAGAGTTTTGCCTACTACTTGATCTGCTCCCTGCAGGGATATTGTACATATTTACGTATGTATGCAATTGTGTTCATGTTGATAAACGGAACTTGCAAGTCAATCTTTTATTAATTATACCATAACAGTATGCATGTTTGTATGTATGCATGTATGTACAGTAGGTTAGCATATACTTATGTGCGTTTGCATGAGGTATATGCAAATTCTATCGAACCCCTCCCATATGTGACATTGTGGCATGACATGTATTGGCTTGCGGTGGTTGGTGTAAGTGAATTTTCGCTCTAAATTGCTTTCAAAATGCTAAATACTGCTGGAGTGCCAGTGCATAAACATGTTTACTTATGCGCTGTTTGAAATTGTACTTAACCCCAGGGGCGCCCTGAAAATCAAGGTTCGTTGTTCGATACAATTTAATGTACTATGAAAGAAAAAAAATTAGAATAATAAATTTAATTCAACAAGATCTTAAGCGTACCAAAGGCACTCCACCCACATCCATTTTTTTCTTATGTTCGTGCGGCTGGAGTGGATATGAAATATTGAAATCAGCTGCAAGTTTGTTTCTTAAGTCTTTTGATTAAATGATTTTGGGGCTATCTAGATGTATCTGGGGAAAAAAGTATATTTTCAAAAAAAAAAAATTATATATTTGATTCAAACTATTTCATGTCTTAAAGAAATACATTTGAAAAATATTTTCCTAAATTTTCAAAGGAAAATATCCATGACTCCATCAATGTAGTGCCATTTCCGGCGACTTTAGAGATAATCCGAAAAGTAAAAGAATAAAATAAACTAGAATCAAGATTAGGACAAATACAATTGGTGCTTTGTAACTGCTGAACCGATTTTCGTCTACTCTGTTTTGTCTCTTGATGTTTATACTAAGCCGCCTCCGACAGACGAATGGACTTACAAGCATATTAGGAGCTTTTATTTCATATCAAAAATACACTCCAACTCTAACCCTGGCCATCCAAGTGTTAGTATGCAATGCTAACCACTCGTCTTCTGCGGCCACGGCTCTATACTCGTCTATTATTTGCCTAAGTAAAGCTTTTCCTCAACACTCATGGATGTATCTATGTATGTACATATCTGATTTGAAAATTATCCAAAATTGCTTCCACTTTCCTCTCGCAATGAACCTTTAGACGTCGTGCCAACGAAATGGAAAACAGAGCAACGGTAAAAAATACGCAGATAGACAAAATAAATGCTCCACTTTCATGCACCACTTATATACTTACTTATATACCCGTGTTATACATATGTATATACTCGTATGTACACTTGAATAATCCCTGTGTTTATGGCACAACACTACACTACTACTATTTGCCTAAAGATTTTTTTCACCATCGATTGCTTTTGAGTTTTTTACAGCGCATGCGCGCGCCCACCAGCCAAATTTGGTGTTTACCGTTTGCTTGTACTTGACCTCAGTGCCGTTTCGAGTGGGCGCTAAATGACTGATTCAGATTTGATTTGCTCACAGACTGGCTGTCTGCTCCACTAATTGACTAACTGATTGCTGGCTTGAATGCTTGACTGGCTGACTGACAGACTGAAAGACTGAATATTAGAAAAGTGAAAGTGTAACGAACCAAAGACAAAGGAGCGGCTGCAATTACAGATGAAATGGAATGTTTGGATGGTTTTTTTTGGAATTTTTTTATTGTTATTTGTAATTATATATCGCCTGGATGGACGTTTGAAAGGTCACTTGAATGCTTTTGGGTTTAGGTTTTATTCAAAAAAAAAAAAAATAAAAAAATAAGAAATTGTCAAGAAAAACGAAAGAAGAGCTACATAAATATTTTCCCAGAGCATCAATGAAAATTATATATTTTTTCCCCAACTTTTGATGTCTTTAAGAAGGGATATTCACTCCCTATCTTTATTATAATATTGCCTATATAACAAATATCTGCAAGATTATATACCTGGACCATTAAAATATAGGGCGTCTTTGAGGTCTCAAAAAAAGGGAGACCCACAGTTTATTTTATGCTGTCTCCCAAAGGCTGACGGATTCTTAAAAGCCGCTTTTTCATTTCAGTAATACAATTGGACGGCCTGACATGGCCTGACAAAGCTGCATAATTATATTATTTGGGAAATAAAATCCAGTTTAAAATATTTGATAAAATTCAGAATCAGAAGTGTCGTCAATCGTTCGTTGACTTCTTTAAATATCGAGCTTTGCTGAGTTTTGATACAATTAAATAATAAAAAGATTTTAGGAAATCATTCACCATACATCAAATCTTGGGAAATACCCATGAGAAAAGACTTTAAAGCTGCCTTCGACAACATGAAAATGAGCTATGCCTGTGTAAGCTAACGTTGAACAATACCAGCAGGTTGTTAAGGGCGACTTTTCGGACAGAGTTATTCTTCATCATGAGACATGAGTGATCAAAAACAAGACGTTAACATCCCTTTCATAAAAAACCACACAGCGCATGCCCGACTCGGTTCAAATGATACCGTGTACTGTCATATCGTTCAAATCCAAGACGATTTAGCATATTCAGGGACCAACGCTAACTCCAATAATGATGTCAGCCTTAAAATCCGACAGAGAATGTTTCTTGTACATTGGTGTTACTTTGGCCTGAGTAGGCGAATGAGCAATAAAATCCTCTCTCGAATGCCGAACTATTCTTGCATCGGCTGTAATCGTGTATGTGGTAGAAAGACAGCGAACACAAACGGTCTTAAAGCTGGGATTGACGATCAGGAAGATTTTATTATGCGTTTGCTGGGATTGCGAAACTGTTTCCATAATACCAAATTCGTTCCCCTACTACCAGCTATTAGACCGCCTGTAGTGTAAAAAATCACCCACAAGTGCTTAATTTTGGTCAACGAAAGGGGGAATGTGTTTCATGAGCACAACGCCAGGCCACACACATCGATAGGGACTCGCTAGAAGACCCTAGCCCTTATATATTAGGTGTACAACTTTGTGTCCGCCGTTTTTTTTTTAATTTAAAAGCTTTATTGCGAAAATGTGATTACAGATATGTTATTCAAAGTATTGTTCTTCGCTAGCGACAATTTTCTCCCATCTTTCCTGCAATTTTCGGCTCGAAAAAGTCCTCCTTTGACGCTATGCAGCAATCCATTTTTCCAATTCTTCGAAGGATTGAAAATGTTGATCTGCCAGGCCGTGTGCCATCGAACGGAATAGGTGGAAATCAGAAGGGGCGACATCTGGGGAATACGGCGGGTGGGGCAAGACTTCCCATTTCAGCGTTTCCAGGTACTTTTTGACCACTTTTGCTCGATGTCACTCGGTTTCAACTCGTACGGCACCCAGTTTCCTTCTTTCTGAATCATGCCTTGAGACGTTTTGAAATGGCTTGCTGACTCACTCCCAACGATTCGGCAAGCTGTTCTTGGGTTTGGCACGAATCTTCATCAAGCAATGTTTCTAGTTGTTCATCTTTGAAGGTTTTTTTCTCTTCCCACACCATGTTTGTCTTCGACATCGAAATCACCATTTTTAAAACGTTGAAACCACTCCCGACACGTTCTTTCACTCAGAGCAGCATCACCGTAAGTTTCTGAGAGTTTCTTGATGCGCTTCAGCTGCATTTTTTTTTTTTCGAATTGTAACAGAAAAGTAATACTTCCCACAAATGACGAGAATTAGGCACATAAACGGACATTTTCGAGCGTGAATAATACGAAAACAAGAACAACTGTCACTGAAATGGCGATGACAATTCGTTAGGCACTGTCCACACTCACTTTAAAGGCATTATCATCTATGTATTTCAACCAGCCTCAGTCGGTACAGCCACCTATCGGAAAACGGCGGAACCAAAGTTGTACACCTGATAATATTGTATATACGATAGATTTTTCATATGTGAAACTTTGAATCATAAATCCGTCAAAAAAGCCTGTTGAGCTCAAATCGGACGACTATAACATTTAGCCCCCATACACGGATTTGTACAGATATGAGGTTTTGGCAAGAAATCCACCAAAAACTCACGCAAAAGCGTAAAATTTGTTATTCTACACTGGAATATCACAGTGTAAGTGAACACACAGAAATCATCGTAATTGGAATTGGACTCTATTATATAGCCCTCTCCAATAAATTTTGCAGATCCGAGAACAAAAATGTATGCAGATTTTGGCATGACCAAGGGCAGCTCTTTTTCTGCTTTTATTATTTATATATTATTATATTAACGGTTAAACATTTGCGCTGGAATATTACCCCGAAATACCAATTTCACCTTCATTCGTTAAATCGGATACTAAATGCTAATGTTTCAAGTAACTCGCTCACAACGTGTCCACCTGTGGGCTACAAAGAATGCTAAACCCCATGGCTAAAAGCACAAATGGTCTACCATAAGCGATGTGAATAATTTATTATTTCAATAACACTCACCTTCGCATCCATGATATCTCGCTGCGCTTTAAACGTTTCAGTCCAGACGGTTTTTTTTATTATTACTTTCGATTTCGTCAAATTTAACGTGCTCGAGTTGCCACACACTTGGTTTTTGTTTATTTATTTAATTCGCACAATTTGTTATTTATTGTGTCACTGCTTTATAAGTACAGTTATATGCATGTATGTATGTATGTAAGTATGTTCCTTGTACCACTTAACGTTTCATGAATTTTTAAAATAATTTTCAATTTCAATGTTTTTATTTTTTCCCTACAACAAGACCTTCTTCGGGTTTCACACAGCCCACGCTCGCTACTTGCTATTGCAGACACGTGCGTTCACGTTTTAAAGGATGTTTATTGCGCATGCGCTTTGTTGTCCTCGCACGCGTCACGCTTGCCGAGCGAATATGTTCGTGGTGAATAATTAATGGCGCTGCACAAGCAATTGAGCTGTAAAGCTGAAAAGGAGTCACAAGACAATGTGAATTCTTTACTTTTGCTGCGAGCAGATCTCGATCGGCAGAGAGCGTGAGAAAAACACACGGTGAATTGCGAAATTGACAATAATTTATATTTTATTTACCACCGCCACTTGGCTGTTGTGTTTCGTTTCGTTGTTGTTGTTGTTTTTATACTTGATTAAAAAAAACGTTCAAAAGTTCTTTACCGTTTAAATTCTTTTTTTTTCACACCGAGTACACTCTGGGTAAAATTCACTTTGAAATTTTCAATGACAACAAATACTCTTATTACTGTTGCTTTCCCGCTTCTGTTGCTGTCAAATTGCAGTCAACCTAAAAGCGCACACGTTTCACGTCAAATTGAAACGCTCAGCGAGAGCAGCGAACCTTTTATACCTTTTCAGCTTTTCTAGCGGCTGCGGCAGCGCGCAACGAGTTCGCCGCCAGCGGCTGCTATGGCACTAACAAAAACAAAAAACACCACCACCAACAAAAACAACAACAACATTGGTAGATGTAAATATGACTTTGATTTTGACTCTGACTCAAGTTCCAACGGCTGCTGTTGCTGCTGCCGCTGCGGCGCTACCGTTAAACGTGGCGTTGGTGTACCGGCTGTGTTGAATCGTGTCTTGATCTTGCTGTGGCAATTAAAAAAATGCTTATGAGTGTTAACCGGCATAAAGTTTGTTGATTGGTTGCTTGCTTCGTTGACTGCTTCCAAGCAGCGTTATGCAGCGGCGGCTGTATAAGTCAAGAGTTTTCTAAGCAAGCGTTTACTGCTCTCAAGCGCGTTGTAAACTGCAAATAACCATTGTTGTTGTTGTTGTTATTATTATTATTGTTATTATTGTCATGAAGTTGTACGGTGACTAGGAGAAGATAATTGTAACATTCTTTGGTATTCTGTGCGTAGCAGCCAAAAAGCTTCAACGATTGCCTAATAATTTGTAAATGTTGCAAACTCTCTGGTCATGGGTTAGCCAGTTTAGAGTTACACTTTACATTGTTCGCTTTGTTTGAGGAGTGTGAGTGAGGAGTATGAGTAGCAGCGCGTGCTACGTGCAGACAGGTCATGGGGCTCAAAGACAGCAAAAAGAGTTTGCTTAATGCGCTCGCCTTGCGGATCTCAGCGTGTATTTTTGGTATAAAAATTTGCTTATAATATAAATATTTTAATTATATGTCGATTTTAATTGAATTAACTAAAATTTTACACTCTTCACACTTTTAATTTGTTTACCACTCAGCCACATTGCTAACTACTCCGCTGTTGTGGATCAAGATGCAAACGAAACGATTGGCTGGGCGACTCGGCCGAAAATAGCTTAGATGGTAATAAAGAGAATTTTCTCTTTTTTTGCTTTTTTTAACGGTGATTTGTATTTCGAGCGCATATAAAAAATTGATTTTCATCAAAATGATTTAGTATTGGTTTTTTGTTGATTTTATCTGCAGTAAAATTATAAAGGTTTATTAATATTCAATGGTTATTTATTGCGTAAGACAAATTTTATGAATTTTCAGTACTCATTTTTTGTATTATTGATTAGTTAGGTTAGGTTGAAGTGAAGTAGGGAACAAACAAACAAAACAAATATTAGGTCTAGTAAAAAGTTCGTTCGGTTTTTATCTAAGAGATGGCGTTATTGTCCATACTACTAGTGTTACGTGTCGCATCATGTCATCCTCCGGCGCTGAAAACGTGTTTATTCGCGCTAAAAGTTTGTCTTTGACATTTTTTCGATTGATTGACTCAATACGTTGTGAGCGCTCGTCAAAGATGGACACCAGCAAAGAGAATTTCGCTATATTTTACAGTTTTTCTTCGATCAAGGCTGAAAAAAAAAAAATAAAACATTGGTTTGCTAAGCTCCGTTCCGATAAATTCGATGTCAAAGATGCACCACGCATCGGCAGGCCCGTCGTCGAAAATTGCGATAAAATCATGGAAATAGTGGAAACAGGCCGTCACGTGAGCACTTATTTAATTGCTGAGGAACTAAAGATAAGCCAGAAAACCGTTTAGAACCATTTGCTTAACCTTGGATTCAAAAAGAAACTCTATGTTTGGGTGCCACACGAACTAACGCAAAAAGAAACATGATGGACCGCAAAAAAATCGACCCGTTTCTGAAGCGGATTGTGACTGGCGACTGGGTCACTTAGGACAACATCGAGCGCAAACGGTCGTGGTCAAAGCTCGAGGAAGCGGCCCCGACGGTGGTCAAGACCAGATTTTGCTGTGTGTTTGGTGGGATTAGCAAGGAATCATCTAATACGAGCTGCTCCCCTACGGCCAAAAGTTCAACTCGGCCCTCTGCTGCGAACAAATGGACCGCTTGAAGGCAGCCCTCATCCAGAAGAGGCCATCATTGATCAACAGCGGCCGAAATGTGTTCCATCAGGACAACGCCAGGGCACACACGTCTTTTTGACTCACCAGAAGTTCCAGGAGCTTAGATGTGAGGTTCTAATGCACCCACCTCATAGTCCGGACCAGGCACCAAGTGATTACCGTATTTTCCAGTCCATGGCGAACGCGCTTAATGGTGAAAAGTTGGCCTCAAGAGAGGCATGTGAAAATTGACTCTGAGAGGGGTATAATGAAGTTGGCATCTTGTTGGCAACAAGCTTTCGAACAAAACTTTGATCATCGAATATCGCTTAAATGATTTTCAAAATATTCTCCATTAATGTTTATACCCTTTTGCATGCGTTTGAATCAAGTGACGAAGCACTTTTGTCACTCTGGTTCGGGTATCTCCAAAACATGCCTTCAGTGCCAAGCCAGTACTATAAGGTGGATGACTAATCAAATGGATGTTTTGAGTGCCCGAAAATGCAGTGGCTTCATTTGAAGTAAGAGAGCTTGCATTATCGGTTGGTTTTCTCGACTTCTTAGAAGACAACGGGCAAACAAATGGTCTGTACCGCTCAGAATCTATAACCGCTGAAGCGGATGGTGCGCGCTCAAAGGCAGGTAGGCTTTAAACTTTAAGCGCGTTTTTTCGGAATTATGATCTCAAAGCTGATTGTAAAGAGTTTTCGTAAACCACACAACTGATCTTGGTGAAATTTTACACAGGTCTGCGAGTTACAAATTACCAGAAGATTTCGGGGATCTTTTTTCTTTTTTCTCTGTACGGAAGTCTTATAGACATACAATTGTTTTAGGTTAAGTTAGGTTATTATGGTTGGCTGTCCCGCCAAATAGGGATCTGCTGATCCATGTAATGTCACATAGAGGTTAAGTTTAATTCGAGCTGAAGTAGTGCTCATAGAGGATATCTACGCTCTTTGCAAAGTTTATGTGAGCTTTGAATTTAAGTTTGATACTTTATCTAGTGCTTTAACTCATACAGAGATACCTAAGTCGAGATCTAGAAAAAGGTGGTACAGAAGCAAATGCGATCTTAAGCGTCTCACTTTAATGGTTCTCATTCGGCACGCGTGTGATACCAGTAGACCTGTGACCTGTTATTATGCCAAAAACAGCGCTGCCATCCTCTCCGTTAAGGCATTTCATTTTACCCTGATCTGTCTGTCAGCCCTTTTGGAAATTTTGTTGTATACCTGTTGTGTTTTCGGCGACTTATATAGTTCCTGAACTGGATGGCACTACTTTCCTGCCGGCTCCCTGCTTCTAAGGACATTATATGAGCGATTATTGCTTTAAATGCCGGTTGGCTTTCGAAGTATATGTATATTGACAGTTTTATGTAATTTCCTGCGTTGTTAGGTGTCTCGGCAGTATGAAAGTTATTGCAGTCATCTGGAAGCATGACGAGTTGGCGATCAAAGTTTACGATCCATTCGTGTAGAAGTTGCAACTTTTGCTGGTGGACCGCATACTGCTGCGTCATCCTCTCCCTTTAAATGTGGCTTGACACCTTCTTTACCTGGGTATGTGGCCTATTTTATACAGTATCTCTGTGCTTATGGAACTGTGCCCAAAGGTTCTTGTAGAAAATTCACACAAAATCTAATAGGTTTCCTCCCTGCAATGCCGATTGGTGGAAGACAGAATGCAGAGTTTCGCTGTATTGGCTCCAATTATTTCTTGTAAGAGATTTTGCTGACAGCGCGGTGCACCACACCAGATCGGCGAAAAACAAGATTGACTTGACTTAAACTCGTTGTTCTGAGATAACTTTTACCCGAAGTTTGCATGTAATTAACGTAGGAAAAAGAATATACCCAGAAAAACGCTTGCAAAACAAAGTCGGATGACTATAAAATATTGCTTCCATACCACTGATTGTTCAGATGAGCGTTTTCTTAGCCCAATTCTTACAATTAATAACGTGAAATTTCGCATAAGCTCACTGAATCATCTGGAAAATCAAATATTTCTCTTTTCACTTCTTTTCCATTTCTAGCAAATTTAATTTCCTTTTAAGTCACTAAGAAGTTCTCTAGCTAGTCATATGTGTGAGTGTGTGTGTGTTTGTGGAAAAACCCAATGTGTGGTAATGTGAAAGCGATACTTCAGCAATCAGAGTGAAATTAACAATGAATAAGCCAATTAGAAATGCTCTTGAAATATGAATGTATTGTGTACGTGTACATTCGTGCTGAAGCAGAATACATATTGACGACCGAGAGAACTTTTCCCCAGCGCGTCGCGTAAAAAGCATAGAAATTGAATTACTTTGGAAAAGTTGAATTGTCATTCTTTATCGAAAGTTATATTGTATGTATCATACATGCGGAATATGAAATTTTAATCAATGATGAATTTGTGAAAATAATTTACAACAGCAGTATACACGGATTTGGACCTAGACAACCGAAAGTTGTTGCTCTAATCCTTTCTGACGCTAAACTCGAATCTTCACTCAGTTTTTTTTTATTAATTTTAGTTTTTTTTTTACATTGTTTATGATTTTTTACAATTAATGTTAATTTTTTTAAATTAAAAGTAGCATAACAGAAATTAAGAGAGGTGGAATCGATATAGTAGGAAACTGATGCAAGGTCAGCGGACTGTATTTCAACCTAGAATAAACTAAAGTAAATTACAAGGAAGCTTCAACGCAATCAGATTGAATGCAATTCAGGGCATGCTAAAATATAACGCCGTGCAGAAGTGTCTAAGGAGCTGGATTACACTACGTGCAGTATGTGCTTCGACTATCTCTTTTCCACAAGAATGCCAAATATTTAGAAATGAATGAGTAAACATAAACGCCCTAGATCAGGGAGTTATAGGTTACAGGCGGCTCAAAATGCGATGAATAAGTGGGCTGTGAAATCTACTCTCTGACGTTCTCAGTAAATATGAGCATGAGACTGCCAAACCATTGCATATTTATCTATGCAGAACTCTTTGCAATCATGGAA